ATATATATATATGTATATACATATACATATATATATATGTATATATATATATATATCCCCTCTGCTGCATCATTTGCTGCTGCTGCTGTTTCCTTTGCTGCTGCCTGCTGTGCTACCGCTGCTGTCGTGGTTGCTGCTGCTTCTTTTGCTGCTACAACTATTCCTAATGCTCTGCCGCTACTGCTACAACAACAACAACTGCTGCTGCTGCTACTGCTGCTACAACACCTAGTGCTGCTGCTGCAACAATCCTACTGCTGCTGCTGCTGCTAGCAGGCCACCTACAGTTCGTATGTTTGTGTTTGTCTTTGCTGCTGCTGCTGCTGTTGCTGCTGCTGCTGCTGTTGCTGCTGCTGCTGTTGCTGCTGCTGCATGCAGACATTGCTGCGTCTGATGTCTGTGGGCGTCCCTGTTGCGTTTATTTCTTTGTCTTGGAGCCGAAGAATAATCTATCAGGGGCTGAGGCGTCTGATGCGGGGGGCGCTGCAGCAAATTCTTCTTGACAACCCTCAGGAGGAGATAGCATTTGCTTGGCAGCCGCTTAACTTAGCTGCCTTTGAAAGTGCTGCTCGACTGCTACAAGGAGACACCAGCAGCAGCAGCAGCAGCAGCAGCAGCAGCAGTTTAGCTGTACGCACCCTAGCAGCTATTGCTGCTGACGGCTTCCAGCTTCCTGTAGATACGCCGCTGCTTTGTGTTGAATCTAACGAACTCTACTTCGGAAGTGATGGGGTATCCACAGGTGAGGGTTTAGGGTTTAGGGTTTAGGGTTTAGGGTTTAGGGTTTAGAGTTTGGGGTTTAGGGTTTAGGGTTTAGGGGCCTCGGGGTTTGTTTCACAGGTGATGGTTTAGGGTTTAGGGCATACGGTTTGGGGGGTGGGCTTCGGGGTTTAGGGTTTAGGGTTTAGGGTTTAGGGTTTAGGGTTTAGGGTTTGGTGTGTTTAGGCGAGCTGCATCGAAATGTTGTTGCTCCCTCTGATAAACTCCAAACTCTTCAGAGGAGACAACGCTGGGCGACAGGAATAAGAAAGCTGCAGCAGCAGATGGATCAGCAGCAGCAGCAGCAAGATGCTGCTGCTGCTGCTGCTGCTGCTGGAGTTGGCCGTGGAGAATATCCCGCAGCGCCTGCTCCGAAGCTGACAGTCTTTGTTGGTGACTCGTGAGTATAGCCTCATCTTTCTTTGCTGCTGCTGCTGCTGCTGCTGCTTGTTCTGCTGCTGCTGCTGCCTGTGCTGGTGGTGCTGTTGCTTGTTCTGCTGTTGCTGCTGCTTATGCTGCTGGTGCTGCTGCTTGTTCCGCTGCTGCTGCTGCTTTTTCTCTTGTTCCTCCTCATGGTGCCGATGCTACTGCTTGTTCTGATGCTGCTGCTGCTTGTTCTGTTGCTGCTGTTGCTTGTTTTCCTGCTGATGCTGCTGCTTGTTTTGCTGCTGCTGCTCTGCTTGGTCTGCGTGTGGTGCTGCTGCTTGTGATACTGCTGCTGCTTCTGGTGTTTCTTCTGTCGCTGCTGTTGCTGCTGCGGTTGCTTCTGCTGCTGCTGCTGCTGCTGCTGATCCTGCCAATGCTTGAGCAGCAGCAGCAGCAGCAGCAGCTTCAGCAGCAGCAGCAGCAGCAGCAGCTGTTGTTGTTGTTGTTTGTTCGCGTTCAGGGTTGGAGATATAGCAGCATTCCTGCTTGCAGATGTAGCTATTCTTGTAGGCTACCGCCCGACCTCAAGGGTGAGGGTTTAGGGTTTAAGGTTTAGGGTTTAGGGTTTAGGGTTTAGGGTTAAGGGTTTATTGTGTAGGGGTTCGGGTTTAGGAGTTAGGGTTTAGGGTTTCATGTCTAGGGTTTAGTGCAGATTGTGTACGGTTTAGGGTTTAGGGTTTTAGGGTTGAGGGTTTAGGGTTTAGGGTTTAGGGTTTAGGTTTGTGCGTGCAGATAGCGCAGGTGAAGGAGCTCAAATTCTCTCCACTGTCGAATCTCCTCGCTTGCTTGAGAGGAGATTCTGCTGCTGCTGCTGCTGCTGCTGCTGAGGGTTCTGCTGCTGCTGCTGCTGAGGGTTCTGCTGCTGCTGCTGAGGGTTCTGCTGCTGCTACGTTATATAACTGCCTGCGGTCGGAGGGCTGGAGTGGGGTGCCTTCTGCTGTTGCTGCTGCTGCTACTGGCAGCAGCAGCAACAGCAACAGCAGCAGCAGCAGCAGCAACAGGACTGTATTTGTCACACGTGATTGGGTGGAGATCTATGCACTCTTCTTTGGGGCTTGGCCTTATACAGCAGCAGCATGAGAAGTGCATGCAGGAGACAGTCTCTAAAGAGACTTAATATTTTTAACTTTAGCGTTAGCTTTGCAGCAGCAGCAGCAGCAGCAGCTGCAGTAGCTGCAGGAGACAGTAAAGGAGACAGCCCAGCGGCGCCTTATATGCTGTTCCGTCTGTCGCCTTTATACACCTCAATGCTGCTGCAGCTCAGCTGAGGAGACAGCAGCTAACTGCACTGTCTCCTTTCTGTCTCCTACTGTCTCCTCGTTGTCTGTCTCCTGCATGCTTTAGAAGGCAAAGGGATAGGAGACACTTTGCACCTATTGCAGCAGCAGCAGCAGCAGCAGCAGCAGCAGGAGACGTAGCAGCAGCAACGCAGAAGAAGCAGGATTGACTGTCTCTTTATAAGCAGACAGTTTGTAGCAGCGGCTGCATCTGTCTCTTCTGCTGCTGCTGCTGCAGCAGCAGCAGCAGCAGAAGAGACAGCACCTCCTGAGGCCTTAAAGTGTCTCCTTTTAGGATGAGGGTGTAAGGAGACAGTTTGCGTTGGCTTCGCATTCATAAGCCTCCTTAGCCTATTTGTTTTTTTTTAATAAACTCTTATGTCTAAGCCCTGCTCTGTCTTTGTCTCTGTCTCCTCTCCCTGTCTCTTTCGGTGTCTCTTCTGTCTCTCTTTGTCTGCTCTTTATTTATCTCTCTGTCTCCTTCTCTTTTTAAACTATCTCTGTCTTCTTCTGCTTTTTATCTGTCTCCGTTTCTTCTTTATCTGTCTCTGTCTCTTCTGTTTCTTTTGCTGTCTCCTCTTCTATCTGTCTCTGTCTCTTTTACTTCTTTTTTTGTCTGTCTCTTTTATTTATCTGTCTGTCTCCTTCTTCTTTTTATCTGTCTGTCTCCATCTCTGTCTCTGTCGCTTAGACGCAGTAGAGAAGAGACAGCAGAGACAAAGAAAGGAGACAGAAGATAACAAATAAAAGATAAAAGATAAGAGAGGGGTAAAGGAGACAGAAGAAAGATAAATATAAAACAAACAAAGGAGACAAAGGAGACAGACGAATGAAGAAATATAAAACAAACAAAAAAGACAGAGAAGATAAAGCAGAAAAACAAACAGCAAACAGCTTTACTGGTGTCTGTCTCCTTTTCGTCTAAGGAGACAGTTTCTATATATATATATATATATATATTATATATTATATATGTACATATATATATATATATACATATATATATATATATATATATATGTCTCTCTTACTTTTTTGTTTAATGCATGCAGCGAACGGAGACTTATTTTATTTTTAATTTGTCTTTTTATTGTAAAGCATGTATAAAGATAAAAAGAAGAAGGAGACAGACTGCTGTCTCCTTTCTGTCCTCTGCTGTCTCTTCTTTGTCTCTGTCTCTTGCCCTCTGGTGGAGACGAAGACAAAGACAGACGGAGACAAAGACAGAAGGAGACAAAGACAGAAGGAGACTGAAACAAAGACAGGAGGAGACAGAGACAGAGAAAGAGAGACAGATAGAGACAGAGAGACAGGGAGAGAAAGATAGAGACAGACAGAGACAGAGAGACAGACAGAGACAGAAGGAGACAGAGACAAACACAGGAGGAGACAGAGACGGAGATAAAGACAGAGACAGGCAGAGACAGAGACAAAGACAGCAGGGGACAGAGCATTGCTGCAGGCTGTGTCTTAAAACAACAAAACAAGAAAAAGAATGTCTCTCCGCTGTACGTACACCGCAGACTCAGAAGGAATGGCAGCAGCAAGGCCGCAGACACCCAACTAGCTAGCTAGCTAGCTAGCTACCTAGTTAGCTGGCTTCCTCGTAGCTAGCTAGCTACCTGGCTTCCTCGTAGCTAGCTAGCTACTTCGATAGCTAGCTAGCTACTTCGATAGCTAGCTAACTAGCTAACTAGCTAGCCAGCTATCCAACGCAGGGCTAGCTAGATATGAACAGACTGTGGAGTGTGTCTAGCTAGCTAGCTAGCTAGCTAGCTAGACATACACCATAGCTGCCCGCTTGCGCTCAAGCTTAGCGCTTCAGCGGAGGGCCCCGTGGTGCGTCAGGCTGTGCGGGCCCCTACTAAACCCTAAACCCTAAACCCTAAACCCTAAACCCTTGGGGGCCTGTGGCTCGATAGGAAGGCCTCCCTCGCGGCATTTGACTCTTTAACAAGTCAGCGTAGAAACTCTGAAAAACAAATCAACACCCGAAACCCTAAACCCTAAAACCCTAAACCCTAAACCCTAAATCGGATACCCCTAAACCCCAAACCCTAAACCCTAAACACTAAACCCTGAGCCCTAGACCCCAGACCCAAAACCCTCAACCGTCAACCCCAAACCCTAAACCCTAAACCCTAAACCCTAAACCCTAAACCCTAAACCCTAAACCCTCGCTTACGAGTGCGAATGCGCAAAATTGTTGTTTATTGATATTCGGGGGAGAGCCGTCTACACCTCCTTTTGTTCTGCTCGGATGAAAACCCTTGACTCCTTTTCTAAGCAGCAGCAACTGAGGGGCCCCCAGGTGTCTGTCGAACCCTCGTGTGGTGTAGAAATCTACTAGCTGCATTAATAGCTGCTCCTCTGCTGCGCGTCGCTCTTCTACTGCTGCTGCTGCTGCTGCTGCGGGCGTTTCTGCTGCTGCTGTTGCTGTTGCTGCGGCCGTTTCTGCTGCTGATGCGGGCGTTTCTGCTGCTGCTGCTGCTGCGGTTGTTGCTGCTGCTGGTGGTGGTGGTGGTGGTTTACGAGCAGCAGCAGCAGCAGCAGCAGCAGCATGCTGCTTGGCAGCAGCAAGAAAGATGTTTGACTTAGAGAGACGAGTTAGTAGGGGCCCCAAGGGCTTACGTACTTCACAAGTTGAATAAGCTGTGTCCTTGCCGCTGTCTTCTGCTCTACTAGAAGAAGCAGCAGCAAATATTTCTTTTAGCTCTTGCTGCAGCACGCTGCTTGACAGCATCCATACACTCCATCGGGGGGCCTCCCAACGGAGGGGCCCCCGACGAGGGGGCCCCCTTGAAGCAATTCGAGGCCCTGCTGCAGCTGCTGCTGCTGTTGTTGCTGCTGCTGCTGCTGTTGTTGTTGCTGCTGCTGCTGCTGCTTCTCTTAGACGAGAGCGAATAATACCAGCAGATAATGCAGCAGGCCCAGATGCAGCAGCAGCAGCAGCTGCTGCTGCTGTTGGTGCTGCTGCTGTTGCTTCTATTGATACTGCTGCGGGTAGAGTGCCGGTGCTGCGCGGGTCGCCTCCATCAGCCGCTGCAGCGCCTTCCCCTTGCTGCTGCTGTTGCTGCTGCTGCTGCTGCTGCTGCTGCTGCTGCTTCCCATCGGGCTTTTGGTGTCCCCAGGGCCTCCACTTGCTCCAAATGCTGAAGTGTCTCTTCTGTTTGTCTCTTAAACTTTGCACAGCAAAAGGCCTATCTGCAGCAGCAGCAGCAGCACCTGCTGCTGCTGCTGCTGCTGCTGCCCCAGCAGCAGCAGCACACGGAGCTGCAACATGAAGTCCTTCTGCTGCTGCTGTTGCTGCTGCTGTTGCTGCTGCTGTTGCTGCTGCAGTACTCCAACTCCTCAGGGCCCCCCTGCTGAGAGGAGTGCATGCAGCAGGGGCCCTATACATTATTTTTATATATTAGAAACAAAAGAAATATATATTTAAAATAATAATAAGAGACAGCATATATATAATAACACCGAAGCAGCAGCAAATAGGAGACCCCTGGGGGGCCCCCCTGGGGGCCCCCCTCCTGCTGCTGCTGCTGCTGCAGCGGCGGAGACAGAAGAAGATAACTGCTGCTGCTACTGCTGCTGCAAACAAGAAAATCTCTTCCTTATACTTAGGGTTTGGGGTTTAGGGTTTAGGGTTTATGGCTTAGGGTTTAGGGTTTAGGGTTTAGGGTTTAGGGTTTAGGGTTTGTGTGTCTTGGGGGGTTTGAGGTCCTTGTGGGGTGGGGGTTGGCTGTAAACCCTTTAAACTGAAGCAGCAAAAAGAAGAAAAACTGCTGCTGCTCATTTGCAGCAGCAAGCAGCAGCAGCAAGCAGCCGCAGCAGCAAGAAAGGGGACACCTTGTGGAGTTGAGGGGACACCAGAGACTCTTAGCAAGGTGCTGCTGCTGCTGCTGCTGTAGCTGCTGCTGCTGAAGCTGCGGCTGCTGCTGCTGGCTGCAGACTGTCAACTGCTGCAGCCAGGCGGCTGTGGGTGTGAGAGATGCTGACGCCACGCCTGCTGCAGCAACAGCAGCTGCAGCTGCAGCAGCAGCTGCAGCAGCAGCGGCGACAGCGGCTCTTCAGGTCTATGCAGCTGCTGCTGCTGGGTTTGTATTGCGTGTTTATCTTTAGTGCTGCTGCAGCAGACGGTGTGCTGCTGCCTAACAGCCGCTCTCCCTCTTCGTTTCATCTCGGCTCCTCCCTGTGGGGCCCCTACCCCAGCAGCAGCACCCTGTTTGCTGCGCGGAAGCAGCAGCAGCAGCAGCAGCAGCAGCAGCAGCAGGTGGGATTGGGTACACGCACTCTGGCCTTCGCCAACCCCTTTGGGGCCCTTCGTGGTTTGCTGAAGCGGAAAGGAGGGTCGGATGACAGCAGCAGCATAGGAGATACGAGCAGCAGCAGCAGCAGCAGCAGCAGCAACAACAACAACAGCAACACAAGCAGCAACGGCGAGAGCAACAACGGCAGCAGCGGTGCAGCAACAGCACAAGCAGCAGCAGCACAAGCAGCTGTAGACGCTGCTGTTGGGGCAGCAATTGAGTTTGCTGCTGAACAATTGGGGGCCCTGAGGCAAGAAGTGCAGTCCTTGCTGCTGCAGCAGCTGCAGCAGCAGCAGCAACAGCAGCACAGAAAAAAGGGAGACCCAGAGGAGAGGCGTCTGCCTGTCACTGAAATGGCTGCAGCTGCTGTTACTGCTGCAGCAAAGAAGAAACTGCATGCAGCTGTATCCAAAACAGCAGCAGCAGCAGCAGTTGCTGCTGCTGCTGCAGCTGCAGACGGCAGGCTACAGCGTGCTGAAACACAGATAGAAGCCTATGTAGACAGGGAGGCGAAGGGCTTGTTTCAGCAGCAGATGCAGCAGCAGATTCTGTTGCTGCTCCAGCCCTTCGTGTCTGGGAGTGCTGCTGCTGCTGCTGCTGCTGGTGCAGAGGGCAAGGGAGGCCGCAGCAGCGAAGGGAGAAGCCCGGAGCAGCAGCTAGAAGCTGCTGCTGCTGCTGTGTTGCAGCAGTTTGATAGTTTGCTGCTACAATGTATTCCTTCTTCCCAGGTGCGGGAGCGTTGGGGGTGCATGGAGCTGCAGCAGCTGCTGCAGCAGCAGCTGCTGCTGCATGCAAAGGGTATGCGCATGCAGAGGAGCGAGCAGCAGCAGCAGGCTGAGACGTTGCTGCGGGTGGTGCAGCATCAGCAGGGTTTGCTGCAGCAGCTGCAGCAGCAGCTGCAGCAGGAGCAGCAGCCCAGGCCCTTCTCTATGGGGGCTGCCTATAGGGTGCCAGACACAAATCTTCAAATAGCAGCAGCAGCAAGACAAGGAAGGCTGCAGCTCAACCTTACATGCGTTCCTGATGATTCTCCTGCTGCTGCTGCTGGTGTCTTAGGGCAGCAAGGGTTTGTTCGTGGGGTTGAGGGCCTAGGAAACCTCGGCATCAGCTGCAGCTTCTCTATTTAAAACAAACTTTCTGCTAATTCTACTCCTCATGAAATGAAACTGCTGCTGCTGCTCTTGCTGCTGCTGCTGCTGCTGCTCTTGCTGCGCTGTTGCTGTTGTTGTTGCTGCGCTGTTGCTACTGCGCTGTTGCTACTGCGCTGTTGCTACTGCGCTGTTGTTGCTGCGAATCTCGTTGCTGCGGATGTGCCGCTACGGATGTTGTTCGCGTTAGTGCTGCTGCACCTGGTGTTGCTCTTGTTCTGCTGCTGCTCCTGCTGCTGCTGCGTCTGAGCTAAAGCAGCAAAAGCTGTATTGCCGCTCCTTAGCGAGGCCCCTCAGCAACAGCAGCAAACAGATTTGTTGCGAGTTACTGTAGGATGCAGCGGGTGGGGGCTGGGGACCCTAAACCCTAAACCCTACCTGCTAAACCGTAAACCCTAGCTGCTAAACCGTAAACCCTAGCTGCTAAGCCCTAAACGATTGCTGCTAAACCTGAATCCCTTGTGGCTAACATTTAAATGATAAACCCCAAGCCCTTGTTGCTAAACCCTCAAACCCTCACATCTAATCTAGAGCTGACTGCTGCTGCTGCTTGCACACCAAAGCCCTCTTCCTGTGAAGGGTTTAGGGTTTAGGGTTTAGTGTTTAGAGCGGGAGTCCCTGCATTGTGTTGATTTGAGTTGTGTTTCAATGCATTGTTTATAATATTCACTGAAGAGTTTTATTTAAACTTGTTTCTTGCTAAGTAATACCGGCCGTGCAAAGCAATGGCGGTGCTCAGACTTTTTTTTGAATAATTCGGAGGAATATTCAAAAGAATAAGATTAATTAGCTTTTTTGTTCTTGTTTTTCAAAGGTAAATGCTTCGAAAGAAAAGTGATATTCACGAATTTTCCCGTGCTGTCGTGCTGCCGATCGCTGAGAAGTAGAGGGGGTAATTGCGTAAAAATAAGCTTTTTGTGTATAGATGGCCATTGCTTTACAGAGATTAAAGCAAAATTACAACATAATATCAACAAAAAACACTGAAATTGCGGCTTTTTAAAGGTGAGCATACACCGGAAGTTGAATGGACCACTGTGAAGGCAGACGAAAATAGGCAAATACCCAGCAACAGCTGTGGAATACGGTTGTTAGGAGAGAGATTTTAGTAAAATGTTTGAGAATATCCATAAAAAACAAAGAATTTCATTTTTTTAAACTGCGAAAAGAAAGAAAGAAGCAGCGGTATGTCAGTTAGACACCAACGGCTCATGCATAATGCCAGTGCGCCTCGTAGACCCTACAAGACGGTGGAGCATCTTCAGCTTTTTGAGTATTAATTCAACAAAACAATTCAATAAAAACCTCCAAATCTCAATTTTATTGACGTTCTTCTTTTCAGGTTGTCGCTTTCTCTCCTTTTCGCTCGGTTTCCCATTGAGCTGCACGCGCGGCCGGGCTCCCTCTGACAGTGCACGCGGTGAGTTGTAGGGGCGTTTTTCTGCATTAATTTATGAATGAATTTCAAAAATTCAAATGAAATTAGATTTATGCAGATTTTTACATTCTATTAATACCAGATTGAGCTACAGAGAGCGACGTACAAGAGCGGAATCAGAGCCGTACATGTTTTTTCTTCTTCTTGCTTTGCTGCTTGTTTGGCTGCAGCTTGTGAGGCGTTTCTGTGCGATCTTAGGAGTTTACCGTGTTATTCAAGAACCCGCCTTCTACGGGTTTGTTGATACAGTTGTCTGTACAGCCCAGACATTCAAATAACTGCTGCTTTCCACATTCTTCTGTCAGCATGGCGTTGCCTCCCTTTGAGGCGACTTCTTCACAAGAAGCAGAATGCTGCCACCTCGGACGCCCAATCTTTGAGTCCCTCGACCACCCTGCGATTTTCCGCTTTCGAAAGGTGTGAAGCGTCACCAGCGCATGCAGCTGCAGCACCTGCATCAGCTGCAGCAGCATCTGCAGCAGCAGCTGCAGCTGTATCACACCACCGCAGCAGCGCCACCTCCTGCAGCATAGCAACAGCACCACTATCTGCTGCAGCATAGCAACAACAGCAGCACCTGCTGCTGCACATCACTACACCAGGTGCTGCTGGATCGACGGTGTGCAGACAGCTCAGCAGCACCACCGTAGCGAGGCCCCTTCGTGGGTTGCTGCTAAGACAGCCTGCATCCGATGTATTGTTATTAAATGAATATTCATGGTTGAGATCAACAGAGATAACATCGAAATGCACAAAGAAGTTTTCCTTACAAACAGAATAAGCGCACCGCTTTGTGTGTACTTCTGTCATTCTAGAGGGCAATTATATTATTCAGGGAATAAAGCAAGAAGGTTTAAAGTGCATATACACCTACCTAATACTGCTGCTACTGCTGCTGCTGCTGCTGCTGCTGCTGCTGCTGTTGCTGCTGCTGCTGCTGTTGCTGCTGCTGCTGCTGTTGTTTTTCAGGACTATCAGCAGCACCGTCTGGGCCATGCAAAGGGGGCGAAGGGTGAAGTAGGGGAGGCGCTTCGGGAGGTGCAGGAGCAGCAGCAGCAGCACGGTGGTGCAGGGCAGCAGCATCATGCAGCACCTCGTCTACCCGAAGGGATATCTGAAGAAGATGCAGAGTCTCTTCTGTCTCCTTTCGGGGCCTATGAAGCAGACTCACCCTTTCATAGAGACGAACAACTCCTTTTACAAATCGCTAGGTGGCGAATGGCTTATCAGAGATTCAGGGTAAACCTCAAGCATAAACACTAACAAATGCAGACCAATGCATGCATGCATGCGTGCATGCATGCATGCGTACTTGGGGGCTCGGGAGGCCTCAGGGGAAGGAGGGGGAGAGAGGGATGCTGCTGCTGATTCCGCTGTTGTTGTTATTGCTGCTGCTGCTGCTGCTGCTGCTGCTGCTGCTGCTGCTGCTGCTGCTGCTGCTGCTGCTTCTGTTCATATATGCATGCGCACACAGACAGGAGGTGCAAGGGGAGCTGCAGGAGACCTCGAAGAAATCGCACGGGGACTCAGTCTGTAAGCAAAGTCGCTGCTGTTGCTGCTGCTGCTGTTGCTGTTGCTGTTGCTGCTGCTGCTGCAACTGTTGCTGCTGCAATCTGTGTTTGTGTCTTCTTGCATGCATGTTGCATGCATGCATTCCCGCGGCATCAGTACAGCTGAGCGATCCGCTTCCACCTAACCACTGCTGCTGCTGCTGTTGCTGTTGCTGCTGCTGCTGCTGCTGCAGGAAGGCGTTGAAGCTGCTGCCAGTGGTGCAGCTTGCTGAGGTGCTCAAGAGAGACAAGCAGCCGAAAGCCCCGGAGCTGCAGCTGCCTTCACCTCATCTACACTTCGGAGGAGGGAAGCTAGGGTTTGGCTTAGTGCTGCAGGCGATGCTGCGAGCGCAGATGAAGGATTTGATTTTGCTGCAGAGACCCTCAGGTGCAGCAGCACTCCTCCTGCTTGCTGCTGTCTTCTGCTGTCTCTGTTGCTGTTTATCTCCTTCGTTGTCTCTCTTTGTCTTCGTTTTGTTTATGGATATTATATATATATATAAACATATATATATATTAACATATATATATGCGTATATATATATATATATCTTTTATTATTTTCTTCTTTATCTCTGTCTTTGTTTATTTCCTTCTCTCTGTCTCTGTCTTTTTTTTTGTTTGTTCTTCTGTCTCTTGATCTCTTTGTTTGTTTCTTTTTCTTTCATCTGTCTCCTTCGTTGTCTTCTTCTGTCTCCTACCTTCTCTTTGTTAGCTAGCTAGCTACATATACACAGCCTTCTGGCTAGCTAGCTAGCTACACGTGTGCTGCTTGTACTACTTTGTGATTCGCCGGTGCTGCTGCTGCTGCTGCTGCTGCTGTTGCTTTTCCTGTTGCTGCTGGTGCTGTTTCTCTTCTTGCGGCTGCTGCTGCTGTTTATTTTCCTGCTGTTGCTGCTGTTGTTTTTTTTCTGTTGCTGTTGCTATTTCTGCTGCTGCTGCTGCTGCTGTTTCTGCTGCTGCTGCTGCTGCTGCTGCAGAGGACTTCAAGCCGCTGCTGGAGGCCGAGAAGAGAGAGTCTGTACCTGTGTTTGTAAACGGAGAGAAAGTGTGCAGCCTTCGAGTGTATGTACACCCCAAAGAAGTTGAAGACCTCATCGAAACCCTCAAAACAAAAGCGCATCACGCCAGCCTCTCCGCCGGAGAAACAGCGAGTTAGCTGCTGCTGCTGCTGCTGCTGTTTCTGTTGCTGTTGTTTCTGCTGCTGCTGCTGCTGTTCTTGTTTCTGTTGCTGTTGCTGCTGTTTCTGCTGCTGCTGCTGCTGCTACTTCTGCTGTTCCTTTTTCTGTTGTTGTTGTTTCTGCTGTTGCTGCTGCTGCTGCTGCTGGTGTTTTTGCTGTTGCTGTTGCTGCTGCTGCTGTTTCTGCTGCTGCTGCTGCTGATGTTGCTGCTACTGCTGATGCTGGTTCTACTGTCGCTATTTCTTTTTGCTGTTCTTTCTGCTGCTGCTGCTGCTTCCGCTATTGCTGCTGCTATTGCTGTTGATGCTGCTTGCGAATTGTTTGTGTTTGCACTTTGTATGAAGATACCATCAATAAAATTTGTCTTTTGGGGCTTTGTTTGGGGAGCTGCCGCATGCATGCATGCACTTACATTATATCCATGCATGCGTGCATGCATGCACTAACCTTATATGAATGCATGCATGCATGGATGCATGCATGCACTAGCCTTATATGAATGCATCCATGCATGCATGCATGGATGCATATACACTCCATGCATGCATGCATGCATAAATGCATGCATGCATGCATGCATATACATGCATGCAGGACATTTTGTGTTGACGAGCGACTCCCGCATAATTTTGGAGTTAACAAAAATCGCAGGCAGCCTCAGCTGCTCGCTGGGCCCTGCATTAAAGACAGCTTTGGGGCCGCTGCTGCAGCAGCTACCTGACACGTAAGCAAGTAAAGAATGCATGCATGCATATATATTCTCTTAATTTATATGTACATAAGTAGATATGCATATATATATATGTATATATATATATATATATATATGTATATGCATATATGCATGCACATTAACAATCTTTTTATATCATATATATAGATGTATATATATGAATATATGCATATAGTGTATGCACATATATATATATATATATGTATATATATATAATATATATATATACATATGTATGCATATATATATATGTATATACATATATATATATATATATATATATATAGACAAAGATATACATGTAGATAAATATGTGATATATATATCTTTATATGTAGTTATTCGCTATTGAGTTGTTGGCTGTAGTTTGCAAAACAAAACAAAACAAACAAATGAATGCTTTTGCTGCTGCTGCTGTTGCTTCTAGCAGCAACATCAGCAGCAGCAAGACAGAGTGCTGCAGCACCAATGGCAGCAGAAAATGCAGCAGCAAAAACAGCAGTTGTCTCTTCAGCAGCAGCAGCAGCAGCATCCAGCATCCATGCCTATCTCATCCTAAGGGTTTAGCGTTCAGGGTTTAGGGTTTAGGGTTTAGGGTTTAGGGTTTAGGGTTTGTGCAGGCCTGAGGAGGAGCGCGTGATATTATATGCATGCGAGAACGATCACGGGGCTGTCGCGCGACTTAAAGAGGATTTAAAAAATAAATTGCTGCTGCTGCCCTGTATGGTTGACAGAATATGTGCAAGCAGACATATCTTTAGCGACAAGGTGAGAGCAGCAGCAGCAGCAGTAGCAGCAGCAGCAGCAGCAGCAGCAGCAAGTGCGGCAGCAACAACAATAGCAGCAGCAGCAGCATAAAAGCAGCAGGAATAGAAGCAAAAGCAGCACCAGTAGCAGCAAGAACAGCAGCAAACTCTCCACGAGCAACAGTAGCAGCAACATTAGCAGCAAAAAGAGCAGCAGTAGCAGTAACACCAGCAGCAATAACAGCAGCAATAGCAGCAGCAGCAGCAGCAGCAGCAGCCCGAATTTTATTCTTTCGCTGAGAGGGGCATCAGCCTTCGTTCAATATGTAATATGCAGCATATCTGCTGTCTATATATATATATATATTATATATATTATATATATATATATTTATATATATTTATTTGTTTATTTGTTTTATTGCTGCAGATAGAGGTGGTTGCTGAGCCTTATGAAGGAGAGATAGTTGTCTTAGACAGACCGGAGACAGCTCCTCCGCCTCCTTTCGGAGGAAGCAATGTGCATGCACCTCAGCTGCAAGTAAAAGCTGCTGTCTCCTTTTATGTTTTGTCTGTCTCTGTTTGATGTGCTGCTGTCTCCTTTTATGTTTTGTCTGTCTCTGTTTAATGTGCTGCTGTCTCCTTTTATGTTTTATTTGTCTCGTCTTCTGTCTCTGTTCATTGTAATTGCTTCTTCTGTCTCTCTTTATTGTATGTTTGTGCTCTGCTGTCTCTGCTGTCTCTGCTGTCTCTGTTTATTTTATTTTATTCTGCTGTCTCCTTTTTTATTTTGTGTGTCTGTTTATTCTTCTGTCTTTGTTTGTCTCTCTTTGTCTTCATTATTTGTCTCCTTTGTTTGTCTCCTTTTGTCTTTTACTTATTTCTTTTACTTATTTCCTTTGCTCCGCAAGCAGCAGCAGCACGAGCAGCAGCAGCAGCACGAGCAGCACGAGCAGCTGCAGCAGCACGAGCAGCACGAGCAGCAGCAGCAGCATCAGCACGAGCAGCAGCAGCAGCACGAGCATCAGCACTAGCAGCAGCACGAGCAGCAGGACGAGAATCAGCACGAGAATCAGCACGAGCATCAACAGCAGCAGCACGAGCAGCAGCACGAGCAGGAGCATCAGCATCAGCACGAGCAGCAGCAGTAGCAGCATTACGAGCAGCAGCAGGAGCAGCAGCACCTGATATTGTGTGATATGTTTGCAGGCGTCTGCTCATTATCTCTGTCAGCGTAAAATTGGTTTAGTTAACGGCCTCCACACAACTTTAGCCTTTTTAACTGCATGCAAATATAAAAAAGAACTGCTGCAGGCAATCAAACAAACAACAAAGCCGAAAACAAATAATCTCCAGTCTTCGCCTTCACAAGTCAGCCATGCTGCTGCTGCTGCTGCTGCTGCTGATGCTGCTGCTGTTGCTGCTGCTGCTGTTG